TGGCCGGTTTTGTGTTGTTAGAGCGTTGGCTTGTGGTCCAGAGAGACCCCAGTTTGGTTCCCGCTAAGGGCATGTACCTTGGTTGCAGTTTGTCCCCAGCCCTGGTTGGGTCATGCAGTGGCAGCCACTCGATGTGTCCTTTTGACATCAATGTTTCTCTCTCTCTCTTTCTTCCTCTCCTCGCTCCCACTGTATCTGAACAAAAAATGGAAAAATGTCTTCAGGTGAGGATAAAAAAAAATTAAATTATATAAACCTAAGGTATAATAAGTTATATTAAAAACAAAGCTAATAAATGCTCAACACCCATCACTTCCTAATTATTGTACTATTGTCTATGCTCTTCAGGTTATTTATGTCCGTAGTCTCTGTATAATGGTGGCTACTGGGCATCCCTTTTCAGCTCCCTGTTCAGTGACATCACATTAGTAGCTTTCAATTGGCCACAATGGGAGCATTTACATCACAGAAATTGGCAATTGCTGCAAGGCAGGGCTTTTCACCCAAAGAGCCATTTAGACATTTACTTGCTTACCACGCTTATTATGTGACTCCAGTTGACCAGAGATAGTGGAACAAAGTGCATCAAGTCTGTCTCTTACCAGAACAGCCCACAGTAGTTACAGGCCATGCATGTAGAATGTCTGTGAGAGTTATGCCTATACTGTGTGGGAAGCCCTTAATTAAAGGTGTTTTTGCTTCAAGTTGCTTTTCCTAACTTTATCCTGGTTTACCTTGATATCTGGTGTTTACTCCAAACTGAGATTTCAGGGAAGGAAATTTGGAGGCCAAGGGTGGCTCCTAGAGACAGATGGAAGAGTGTCTACCTTGGCATCATCCACAGCATGGGCAGCAGTGATGAGTAGACACCACTGACCTGTGTGTAGGCAGAGCCTGCCAACTCAGCCATGCCCTTAGCATTAGGAAGAGGGGATCAAAGCTGGCAATGGACACAATAAGGGCAACCTAGTGGTATAGTATTGCTACCTAAAAGGAATGGGTGACCATGGGGCCTTTTAGATAGAGGCATGCACGATAGATACAGTGCACATATCTATAAATGGACATGCTTGTGAAGACAAGGCCACTGCACATATGATTTTCTAGTAATCTGAGCCTTATGTACCATCATGTAGATCATCACACAACAAAACTTATAATTTTATTCTTCAGTATAAGATAATTGAAGACACCTTTGTAGTAGAAAGTAACTCTGTAACCTGGAGGATAGATGGCAGCCAGCAATCAATGCCTTTTTATTGTACAAGTTAAAAAAAAAGTCCATTAAATCAATTTACTTTTTCAGAAAAAAAACACACAAAAAGATGTATTTGAACACTTGCACAAATCTATAATTCAGAACAGTGTTTCTCAGATCAGAGTAGTTATTTAAAAGAAACTCAAAGGAAAAAGCAGACACTTCCACAATATGTCCTTGCTCTGTAGCAGTCCATAATTGTGAACTTTTGTGAATTGTCACAACCTGGGATGAATGATGGGAATGTAAAAGATTGTAGAATTGGAGAATGTTAAGTCTTTGTTCCTAATGGCAAAACGTTTTTCTCATTTTCATCAGAATGCGTGATCCATGCAATTTGAAATCAAATTTCAAACACAATGAGCCATTAGTATAATAGCTCATTACTAACAACAGTCTTATAAATAATATATTCTTATCATGCACATGCAGCTCACCATGAAGTCAGCAAAAGATATTTCAGGCCACTGAAGTTTCTTTTTGCCAGTGTGGCTGTAGATTAGAAGGATATCTCCATGTGAACCAAGATGGATGCTAATTTTCCCTGCTGAGAGTGAGGCTGGCCATCTCTTTCTGCACATATGGTAGATGGATTGGTTAATCAGTGTGTGTTGAGTCTTGGGCCTAAAATTATAGACAACATAGACTACTGCAGTTATGCAGCCTTTGTTTACGAGTGCAAACAAGACAAACAATCACTTGTTATTTGGGAAAAAAATTAAAATACTTATTTTGAACTTTTATTAAAGTATCAATGGCTTTATAAAACAGCTGTGTAAATTCAGCCTTTTATAGCTAGCTAGTATTATTTGAGGGGGCCTGTAAAGAAAAGAATGTGCATGGAAAAATTAATTTTTAAATAATTTTCTTATATTTTAGCATTGAGGAGAAAATAATGGGAATATCATATGAATTTTTTGAACATATATTTGAAAACAAATAATTTTAAACTAGAAGGCACATTTTAAAACAAATAGTTTGATACATAATTTTTCTGTCATTTAAAAGACTGAGCATTATCATAGCTTAATTTCCTGCTTTAGTAGGTTAAAGTAACAGTTTTCATCCTTTTACATCTAATGGCACACACAAACTACTGAAATTCTGTAGTACATCAAAAACTATTTTTTGCCAATCTGACAAAAAAATAGATATAACTTTGATTGGTTTACAAAAAAATAATAATAGTACCTGCCCTTTTTGCTCCAAAGTGACTTAAAAAAATCAGGTGCCTGTATTTGTATATAAGGATTTCTGGTACCAAGAATTAACCAATCAGACACAACCTTATTATGTGACATGACCAATAAGATGCAATTCTATTACATGTCCTATATATTTATGGTTCAAGACAAGGCATTCACACCACTGGATGGCTATTACTGTGTTGGTTGTTGTCACTTAAAAAAAAAATATGTTTCTATTGATTTTAGAGAGAGAGGAAAGGAGAAGGGGGAGAAACAAATATCTATCAGCTGCCTCCTGCATACTCCCTACTGGGGATTGAGCCCTGACCTGGAATTGAACTGGCGATCTTTTGGTGCACTGGACGACACCCAACCAACTGAGCCACACTGACCAGGGCTGTTGTCATTTTTTATTTGACAATTTAAGGTCAGTGACACTGACTAAATAGTCAGGTATTGCACATTTTAAAAATTCTTGCAGCACACTGGTTGAAAATCATCGAGTTAAAGTATTAACTATTTTCTCCAAATGGACATTTATGGGATGATACTATATACTTGGGACTAAGGAATGCCTATGATTATTGAATTCTACTTTTTAACTAGAATGGTTGTCTCAAAAAATAGTCTAAACACTTGAGGAAAAAATGCTGGTTTTTAATAAGAGCTGGCAGAGTCAAATCAGCCAACCAGAATTTGCTTAAAACCCATGTAATAATCAACAAGAATTATTTATGTGAACTTTTTTTTCAGTTTTACTGATATAATTGACATATAACATTGTATAAGTTTAAGTTGTACAGCATAATGATTTGATATATATATATATATAGCAAAATAATTACCATAATAAATTAGTTAACTAAAGAACTATACATTTTCTCTCACTCTCTTAAAATTTTTAATTTAATTCTCTGCTTACCTTGAAGAGAAGAATGAAATATAGAATTATTGAAGGGACATAATAAGGAATTTCCATCACAGTCATTTCTTAATGTGAAATATGATGGAAATAAAATTTGTTATAATCTAGTACCAATAATAAGGGCAGATTAGCTAGTTACTCATTAAAAGATATCTTGTTTCCTCTAATCACAGAACTTCTGACACCAAATATGTAGGGTTTTATTTCCACACCAGCTAGTTTTTCAGCTCTCTAAATACCACTGGGTGTCCTGCAATCCTATTCTGACACTACCTGGAGTTAGCACAGACCCCATACATGTAGAGCTCATACCCACAAGACTACTCCCGCTTCAGACACCAGTTGCAAGTCCCAGATTGTCACCTGTACTTCTGACTGACTGGTTGTAAATCAGGGGTTCCCACAACTTTCTACTCAGGTTCACTAATTTACTGGAACAGCTCATAGAACTCAGAGATATGCTTTAGTTACTATTACCAGTTATTAAACATACAACTCAGGAACAGTCAAATGGAAAATATACATAGAGCAAGGTGTGGGGAAGGGGTGTGGAGCTTTCATGTCTTCTTTGGGCACATCACCTCTTGGCACCTCAGTGTGTTCATGAAACCAAACACTCCTTAATCCAGTTGCTTAGAGGTTTTTAAGATCGTTTTATAAATGATTGATTATATTTTGGTCACTGATGATTGAACTTAACATCTGGCCCTTCTCCCCTCCCTTGAGGTCAGGGGTAGGACTGAGTTTCAGAAGTCAAATCACAGGTTTGTTTCCTTTGACAACTAGCCTCCATTTTCAGAGTCACCTTATTAGCATAAACTCAGGTATCCTTGAAAAGGGCTATTATGAAAAACAAAAGACACTGCTTTCAGGAAATTGCAAGTGTTTTATGGGCTTGTGCTTGGACCAGGGATGAAGACCAGATATAAATTTCTTACCATATCACACTATCACATTCTTATTCCTACCTGTGTATCCCTCATCAAAGGCCAGAATCATGGGGACCATTGTAAGAGGTTCAAACCAGGTATCTATTATAATGCTGGAAAATATAGGTGCATTTCCACCAAACCTTTCCTCACATCTCCTCCTCATGAGACCATCTAGTCAAATAAATGAATTCAAGAAAATTAAAGAGTTCCTGCCTGGTAAGGAATGAGTGACCATGAACTTTCTCTGAATTGGGGGTCAATCAGATGGACATTGGAACAGTGGCTGGTCTTACTGAGAACTGTGCATGGTAGAGGGGAGGAGAGTTGACAGAAGCTGTACTTGCAGTGGGATTACACAAAGGATGTGGGCAGGTAGGGTCATTTCCTCGGCAAAGGGGGCACATGTTAAGTTCCAAATAGTTTTCCCTCAGGAGCTTTCTGGCAGCTTACCTATGTTACATATCCATTTCTAGGCTTGTCCACAATGGTCACTTATTGAACATTGTTTTGTGTGTGTTGTGCATGCCATGCATTGTGCTGGACACTAGAGCTACTAAAGGAAAACACTGCTCCCTCCATTAAACATCTCAAAGTGCCTGTCAAATCACCAACCACTCACATGCTATGGGCTCATGAAAATTTTATGCTGAGAATTCACTTGAGGTCTGATAGAGTAACAGGTATTTTGTATGTTTCAGGTGGAAGGTGTAGCTGTTGGGTTTATGAGTGTGTGCTCGAGAGTGAACATGCAGCTCCTGCATGAGTGCTTTGACTTGGGGCCCTTCCATGGACTCTGCATCCCACATCCTGATGATGTTCTGGGACGACCACAAGAGCTAAGCATTCAAAGAAGTCAAGGTACAGGGGCTATCCCGGGTACATGTCAGGAATTAAATCCATGCCTTATACACAACTGTGTTTTTACTAAGTGATGGGACTAATTTTATATCTCCTTTTGAGATTCTCTTTCAGGTATAATTTTTTCATGGTTAATCAAATCTTTATCCATGTATCTATGAGCTCAGATAGTCTATATTTTAAATTTTAGTTTAGTTAGACATAGTGGCCTTGCAGTTTAAGGTTTTCTAAATTCAGAATGTCTGCCTTCAGAACGCTCATGGTGAAATGATTGGTAGTATTACAGGATTTTATACACATGCAAACATAATTATAAGGAGTGAATTTTTCAGATCAATAACTAAAGAAGTTCTATATGCCTTTAAGTTTTAATTCCACCAGTTAGTGCTTCTATGTTTATGTGTTTAACAAATTGTTATGTAGTGCAAGCCTATTGCAAGTAACCATTTTTAACTTGTTTAACGTATTTATAGCCATATGAAATAACAAAATTGATTTTAAAACATCATCTGTATCAAGATTTTCACCAAGTAAAATTAGGTAATCTCAAACTTTGCTATTTTAACTTAATGAGATCTTACTACATTCCTGGTTATCTTTGCAGTTAAATGTTTTGGTTCCTAAATAAGACAGATGCAGGCAAGGTATGTTAATTCACTTCTCTAAACCTGGGTTTCTTCCTTTGTAAAATATAAATAATAGTAATATTTTCCACATAGAGGAGTGGTGAAGTTTCACTGAGATTACCCATGTCAAGGGCTTTCCTCTTGTGCTCAATACATGTTGGTCATCGTTGTAGCAATTGTTATTTCTTTGTGATTGGCCTTTCACCTATTTGAGTCTTCCCAGATTAAAATCAGGGCATTTGAATTGTTCTTCTTTCTTGTGTCTATAAGATTATATATCAAGATTGTTTAAAAATGTAAAGAGGAATGCATCGGGTGGTGGAAAAGTTCTTGTTAATCTAAACGATGACAAGTTTCATTATCCCCTGGATGGAAAAGCAAGTGCATGGATGTACAGAGCTCATCTGAATGTTCACTTGTTACAGAGAACTAGCACAGCCATGGATGGAGAGGTTGTTTCCTTTTTGTACTGATGACTGTACTCTTCCCAAAAGAGAGATTTGAGGTCATTATTTTTAAATAGTGAAGGATGACTCACCCATGCTTCTTAGCAAAGAGATGTTGGAGTATATTGAAGGAACTTCTCAGCATGAGACAATCTTCAGTCATAATTTATCACTGTCATTTTCAAATGTATAAATTCTTATTGAAGATGGCATTAAATAAGTTTTATGGCTCAATTTTCTTGTGTGTAAATGGAGATTTCAAAAATAGTATCTAACCCAAAGAGTTGTTGGGAAGATTAAATGTTAGAATCTACATGATGTAAGATCTACACAGAGTAAGTTCTGAAAAAAATTTAAGTTGTCCCCCACTACTCTCCTAGTGACTTTTGTTTTCAAAAACAAGTTGAAAAGATGTAGTGTTTTCCAGTGTGTTCCTGAGTAACTTTGAGGCTACTGATGTTCCACATGTGACATAAATGGAAAATTCCTATTTTAGAAACTTTATGGGGAGAACAAAAATTTAAATTTAGACATAAAGACAAATATAATCTAGTATATATCTGTTTGTCAAAAGCCATACAGACATGGAAGCTGAAAGAAGTCCTATTTCTCTCTACAGCCTTTAATATTTTTACTTAAAATTAGTTGATCTCAGGATGGTAAGTAAAGGAAATAGGAAAACTTGTGTTATCTTCTGTGCCTTGTTTATTTTTTGAAAATCCAGCTTTATGTTCAATGATACAAAGATGATTATGAAATTTTCACCAGGAAGCACTATTGTAGACTTCCAAATAACTCATGGATGGATTCACAAATAATCAACAGCTCATTATATCTAAGAAAAAGAGTCATCAACACATTTTGGTGCCATCTTCCTATCAACAACAAAGAATAAGGCTCCAGAGAACATTCTAAATGTGCTATGATCTAATGTTCATTTTTTTTTCTGATGAAAGTCTCAAGTTAAAAGGAAATATAATTTATCTAAAATATGAACTAAAATTTTTGTTTCAGATGGGCACACATCATTGTGCCTTATACCTTGTATTTTGTTTAGTGCTTTTTACTTTTCAAAAGATTTTCATATATATAATATTTTATTCCCATAACTTGATGTAGGAGAACTAGGGTAGGTAACACTGTCTCTTTTTTTTTTACATCTGCCCAAGCTCATGCAAGGTTTTAAAGCTTATCACAGGTTGACCCAGCACCCAGACCCAGTCCTCTCTGCTTGGCAATGTGACTTTATCTAGGATGGCTTTGACTGAAAACCCCAGTGGGGGTTTTACTACACTAGACACATGATCAGTTTTTTCACTTTAACAAGGTTATTTGGGTTATCACTTTAATGAGTTCTCAGTGAAATGTCCCTAAGACTATCACCAGACTGGTCCATGCTGGGGGCTGGCCCTGCCTGGCATAGTCTGGGACCTTTCACATGTCAGGCAACCTTCAGGCTCTTGACTCATGCAGGAAAGGTTTCAAGAATGAATTGAAGAACAAAAGCAAGTTTCATTCATGTAGAGAAATAGAGATTCCAGGGCACTGGTGCCACTGTAAAAGAAGCAAGAGTAGCTCTGACTGGTTTGGCTCAGCTGGAGCGTCGGCTTGAGGACCAAAGAGTCTCAGGTTTGATTCTGGTCAAGGGCACATACCTTGGTTGCAGTTTAGTCCCCAGCCCTGGTCGGGGTGGTATAGGAGGCAACCAATCAATGTGTTTCTTTCACATGGATGTTTCTCTCTCTCTCCCTCCCTCCCTCCCTCCCTCCCTCCCACTCTATCTTTAGATAAATGGAAAAAATATCCTTGGGTGAGGATTAAAAAAAAAAAAAAAGGAAGCAAGAGTATGCATCCAAGTGGATAAAGGCCAACTCAAGAATAAGTTGTACATGCGGTCAGTTAGTTCCTGGGATTTTACATGATTCCTGTTTTTGAACTTTGTAGCACTATACTGTCTCTGCCTTAGGGTTGGATGGAGGTCTTATTCCTAATATGGTTTGTTTTTGAGTTTGCCCCCATTGACCATTCCCTTCTACTTATGGTGTCAGTTTTCATCATAATGATGGTATAATGAGCTTTGGGGCCAGCCTCTGGTCAATATTTTATCTCCACCTCAGAATGATCTGGCTTTAGCTAGTTTCTGTTATTGTTGACTTCTTTGACCATCACATGGTTTTCCTACCATAAACTGTTTCTGTTTGATCAAGTTTGGAGGTGGGGGCTCTGATGAGGCAGTTCATTGGCCTGTGAAATCCGTTCCTACTTCCTTATTCCACTTGTTGGGAGTTTTCCCTAGGTTCTTGCTATCCTACCTCAAGACTATTTTGTGTGTGTGTGCTCTTAACACATTCTGTCTGCTGGAATCTTCACTTCTGTGTCTGCGGGATTTGCCAGAACTGTGGACAGCCACTCTCCCCTGTGCCAGAGGCAGGCCAGGAGTGCCAGGAAGTTAGCACTCCAGGAGCAATCTCTGTCTCACATCACTGCCCCCTTGTTGCTATTTTCCCTATCAGCTCCCAAATAAATGGTTGAACTTGAATCCTTGACTCCACATCTGCTCCTCAGGGAACCCACACCAAGACACTGCTGTTGTAGTTTTTTCCCACCAGCTGTGAAAACATTTATGCACAACTGGTAGGAGTCAGGGTATAGATACCCAGCTCCCTCACCCTTCAGATGGGATAACTGGGAGACATGAGTTTTATAATGTTTCCCAGAGTTCCTCCATCTAATTAAATTCCAGAGTGATAATCTGTGTAATTACCCATACTTTATTAGCTGCTCCCTTCCCTTCCTCTCTTCCTTGCCACCCTCCTGGTGCTTCCTGGAATCACCTGTCAAATAAACTGCTTCTTCTCAAATCTTTGATTCAGGGTCTGGTCTTTTCCCACCAGCTGTGAAACTTGCAATTTCACACCAGCCTCAACCCTTCCAAGCAGAATAATGTCCCAGCTCAACATTCTTAAGCTAATACAGTGGGTCTTCTTCTTTAGTTATTTACACACATTCTGATCAGCCTGCTGTCCATCATATCAGTGATATCAGAAGTTAACATTGAAATTAGAACATTTAGCCCTGGCCGGTTTGGCTCAGCGGTTGGAGCGTCAGCCTGCGGTCCGGAGAGACCCGGGTTTGGTTCCCGTTAAGGGCATGTACTTCGGTTGCAGTTTGTCCCCGGCCCTGGTTGGTCGTGCGGGTGGCAGCCACTCGATGTGTCCCTTCACGTCGATGTTTCTGTTTCTCTCTCCCTTCCTCTCTCTCCCTCCCACTCTATCTGTACAAAAAATGGAAAAATATCCTCGGGTGAGGATAAATAAAAAAAGAAAAGAAAAGAAATTAGAACATTTAACTGTATACGTTCAATTTGCATTTTACTTGACTAATTTGTACATGTTTTTATTTTTTAGCTATCCATTTTATATATATATAACCTATCATACACACTTGAAAATTTTGGCTTACAATTACTAAATCTTGGGACTAAACTGGGACCAATGGGAACAATGTCTAAGGATGCAGATTTTGTCTCAGTGTAAGGAAAGTCTAATAAAACTTTATCTTTTTATTTAGTGGAGTACCTAGTTTAGAAGTAGCTAGTTCTCAGAATATTAGAAGAATTCAGAAAGAAACATAGATGCTAAGAGTCTCTGAATAGTTAGTGAACACATATTGGGATATTCCATGTGCCTGGCAGTTTATGAATATATTCCTTCATTGACAATACAGTGGCTCAAAACAACATATTTTTTTTTCCAGTTGGCCCCACCACTCGCCCTGCCCAGCCTTTGCAAATCAAGCTGTGTCTTGTTCACTGCATTGCACAATAAAAACTTTGGAATCAGAATTGAGCTAGCAATTTTCTTGATGATGCATAAGGCAAAATAGGGCACAGCCTGTGTTTCCACAGCTGTATTGGCATTGCCACATT